GTCTTCAACATGTCAACACACATTCTTTTTCTCTACTTTACTGCTACTTTATATGCTAATGTTGTCATTTTGGAAATCTAACAGATATTCATGCGTTATTATTGATTTAATAGTACCAAAAACTTTTGAAAAAAATTTATAAGTATTTTTGCACCTTATGTTTGTTTCCTTTTGTTGAAATAGTCAATTTTTAATGGATGTTAGCCAAATTTAATAGGATAGATATGTTGCACTCATTAAAATAAGTTTATAGACATTTCAACACTTTTGTTCGGTTAAGAATATTGGGTATTCTTGGAGAAAAAATTGATGAGTATTTTTTCCCCCTTAGCCCTATATTTTAAAAGCTAAAAGTTGTACTCCCACTATTAAAAAATATAAGATATTTTTTAAGATATTGAATATTAAAAAATATAAGACATTTTAAATCTTTTAAGGTATAATTATTATTTTTTTAATTGAATAAAATACTTTATATTTATTTTAAAACGAAACATCTTATTAAATAGAGATAAATATGAAAATATAGCATTAATTTGCAAAATAAATAAATACTTTATTGAGGTGAGATATGATTAAAAATGTCTTACATTTTTTAACAGAGGGAGTATTTGTAAATAACATACATTTGAATGATCTATTTGTATATGATCCTAAAAAAATATTATTCCTTGATGCTATGTTTGGATGTATGAGAATCTAGATTTGAATTTAAATTTGAACCAAATTTTTCATTTAAATATATAAAAGTATGTGGATTTGAATTTAAATCAAATCCAAATTCATATTTCGTTTCAATTTTAAATTTTCTCAAAACCATAGCTATTTAAAATTCCAGCTACCTTAATCCTTTCATATTTTTTTCACATTTGTTTTTTATTGATGTTTGTTATTTTCGCCTTTCATCTCATCTCTTGCCCTTGTTTCTTACCCATTAAAAAAAAAAAAACCGCATGATGAAGTTTCTGGGGGTAAAAATACTGAACAACTGGAATGACTTCTCTTATTGCTATTAGCTTATCACCAGTAGGACACTTTTTCTTTCTTTCTTTATTTTATCAAGTGTGCGGATACTTCTAACATGTATTACCTATAAATTAAGAAAATTTTATTTTATTTCAAATCTCAGGAGAAATTGATTTATATTTTTAGTTTTATCCTTTTTCATCATTAATCTTTACAATTTCTTAGGTATAATTATTTGGCTTTCATTTTATCATTTACTAACACGAGTAAAAATAAAAAAAATATTTTTGTAAATTAAAAAATGTTTTATATTTTGAACCAACCGTATATTGTAGAAAATGTCTCATGTTATACTTTCTGAGTATTCAAAATTAAAATTTATAGCTAAGAATACTGAAATTTTGAAATACCAAAAAAGGACCATAGTCTTTATGTAGAATTAAATTTTTTTATATTTTTTTTTTCAGTATTTATATTTTATATTTTCAGTACACATATTTCCTCTTAGTCCTTAGTTTTTTTATTTTTCATTTGTCATATCTTAAATAGTATTTTCAATACTTATTTTTTATGTTTCTAAAATTGAAATATACTTTTTTATTTTCAATAATAAAATCATGAAGATGAGTATTGGAAAAAAAAAATAAAAGACTAGGTACTGAAAATGTTAAAAATAACTATTAAAATATGTGGAAAATGAGTATTGCGAATTTGAAAAATAAGTAAAAAAAAAATTAAATGAGAAAAGTTTTAATCCCAACTAATGGCCACGGCCTTTTCTGTAATTACATAACTTTAGAGTGTAATTGTAATTAATATTTTTAAAAGGTCTTTAAATATTTTTTTCCCTATAATATGGCCCATGATCAGATGATCTCTATCTGCATTTTGAAGAGCCATTATTGTGCTTATTTCAGTACACGTTCCAGAAGATTAAAAAGACTAAATTTGATGGAAATCGGTGGAGTACCCAAATTCATAGTGAAGGGTTCATTCCAATTTCTTGTGTTGGTTGGCAGTGACTTGCAGAGTCTTTGGTGGAATTCATTCAAAATTGGAAATCTACGCGCCATGAAGTTTCCTGGAAAAGTATTGAGAGACTTGAAACAGTATATTCTGCAACTTTAATTTGGTTTTGGCTATTGACTGGATGATCAAAGCATTCGAAGATTGGTCAATGCAATTCCGTAGAATATGAAGTTTTTATTCACGCAATTGACAAATGGCAGCATCTCTTTCTTCGGATATTGTTTGGGACGAAGACTTTACAAGCGTCCTGCATGCATGGGGCAACGTCTTCAACATGTCACCACGCATTCAAATTTGAATAAAAGCTCTCTCTTGAACCCCTTCAAGACTCGACACAAGCCAACAGTATCAAGCAAACCAGCTAACCCTCATTTTTTCACAAGTACAATTCATTGTATTCACCCTCAAGTAATGTATTATGATTTTTTCACGTACATTTGGGTACTTTAATTGATCTCTAAATTTTTTTGCCTCGACACTCTAAAAAATTGTGGTAAAGGATATTTGAAACTCACAATCATTTGGTCACTGTTGTTTCTAAGACATAGCTTCTCTGGCATATTGCTTGACAGTTTTGAAGGGGCACGATGCTTCGTGACTCAAAACCCAAACCATGCCAACAGATTTACAATTAAGAATAACTGAAAATAAAAAAGTCTCAATAATAATTTATCGGGTATTTTCTTATTTTAAAAGCGGAAATATTTGTAAATGGAATGATTCAATTTTCATTGCGTCCTAAGAAAAATGTTATTGCTTGAGTGATTTTTACTTCGCGAACCGTACGTTCAGACGAGGTGGTAGTGGAAAATTGAGAAGGAAGAATATGAATGGAAAATGAAGGCATTTATGAATCACTTTTTTTTTTCTGTTGGAAATTAAAGACGGGATGATTTGAAAGTATTAGAAGACTTGACTATAACGAGAATATGATGTGGTCATAGATAATTTTTTGGGTATTTAAATGTTTGTTTACTTTTAATTTTGTTAATTAATAATATTTTTGAGCAACGCCTTCTTTTCCAATAATTTTTCACAAATTAATTCGCCATGACCATTCTTCATTGAGTTCATTCTATTCAAATTCATTAACCAGAGAATTTCACTTCATAAATATCATCTATTTTGTTATTTCAACATATAATATCTTCACTTGTAGTATTGGAAAAGTATGATTTTGTTGTGTGTAATAAGTGTGTGGAGTAGAGATACAAAAAAATGTGAATTTTCTACGATAAAAGTGCATAATGTATTCAAAAGAGCGGAGAATCAAACATAAATGAGAAATTTTGAGCCTCGGTCAAATTTTTGTCTATAGGATCAACTTTCAATTTAATGTACATGTAAAAAGCCTGAATTTATTCTCAAACATAAAAGCCTGAATTTATTTGTATTAAAAAAAGCCTAAATTATAATATTTTTCCGGATTTAATTTTATTATGAATATATATATATATTTTTTTTTTTTAAATTTCCAGTCACGTGTATTGGATGTGACTGGAATTGTAGAGAATCCATATTAAGAAACTCTACTTTTTGAAAAGAGGCTGATGTGTTAGTAACTAGATACTTTAAACTGACAAAATGCTGACATTATCGTCTCCAACATCTGTTAGACATATCGATAGCACATGGAAGCAATGGCACATGACAATGCATGGCTTGTCTGGCAGCGATAATAATATCTAGTCTTGGGTTTTTCAACCTTTCATGCACAATGGTGATATCTATTTGACTAAAAACTGACCAAAAATAGGTGTTTAATGGAGACAGTGTGGCAGACTGACTTCTATAACCTCACTATTATTCCAACCAAAACTCAAACCTTCTCATCTCTTAGTTACACCTCATAATAGACACAAGACATGGGGACACATATAAAATAATAAAAATTAAAATTAAAATACTATAAAAATAATGTAGATTTAAATTACCAAAATTAATAATTATTTAAATTTAATAAGTTAAGAACTCAAAATCTATTAGTGAAATATCAAAGGCTTAAATTTTTTTAGAACTCTAATATATTTTATTTTTTAGTTTAGTGGGTTTAAAATTGTTAGAGTAGTGGGTGCAAATTTTCAAAAGTTATAATATATACTTGTAAATTACTTCAAGTTGAGTGGAGGCATTTGCCCACCCTCAACTTTATCTAGATGAATCTCGCTATGATGCCTGAAGTAGCTGAGGAACCAAGGGAAAGAAGAGAGAACACTCTCAATATAATATAAAATATATTTTTTTGTTACTTGATGATTCTCCATAAAAGAGGGTAATTCTTTTTATATTGAAATTAAGTAGATAACGCAATTAAATTAGTTAAGGGATGGTTATGCATGTGCACAATATGAAGGGGGTTATAAATGGAAAGAAGCTGAAAGAGTTATGAAATTTAAAGAAGAGTTCATGGAATGAACAATTCAATCGTTTCAGGATGACACGTGAATAAAATATAATATGTTACTTTTGTTTGGTACTGCATCAACAAAATTCAAATCTAATTGGAATAAATTATTGACAAAGTTCATTGGCGCATATAAGATTTCCACTACTGGAGTTAAATATAAATCTAGATAGCATATACGTCACTTTTGCTTTGTTTGATCTTCATTTAGATTTAGTTTTAAAGTTTACTCTTCCAAAATTGAATTTAAATTTCCGATCCGCGACTTAACTCGAAGTTCTTTTTCCTCTTCCACTGAAATCCTAATGTGTTTAAGATTGATATAGAGATTATCTATTAGGTAATTCTACAATGTACATATATAAATTTATCAACTTTATTTTTATTTTCCACTTTTTTTCTCCTAGTACAATGTACTTTTTGATGAATTTTCCCCCCAGCTTTCAACTCATCGGGCTATCACATCAATTAACACTAATTCATTTTGGTTTTGGACATTGAAAAGGACAAGAACACCACTTTTTTTGTATGCGTGTGTGCGCGTGTCTATATATGATGCAAAGAGCTCCTCGCCAAGTTCAATCTACTCCAATTAAGCATGATGGCAAGCTTCACTTCGCTGATTTCATTTGTTCTACTATTTCTGCTATTTGCTGCAACATTCAAGAAAAGCGTGGATAGTACAAACTTGGCTGTCCGTTGCAATGAAGATGATAGAAGGTTGCTCTCGATCTTCAAACAAGGAGTGGTAGATCCAGAAAACCAACTCTCTTCTTGGACTGTGGAAGATGATTGCTGTTCGTGGGTGGGAGTTTACTGTGACAACATCACAGGAAGGGTTACGGAGCTTAATCTTTTCGATTATATATTAGGAGGTGAGATAAATCTATGTCTGCTTCAACTTGAATTCCTCAACTACTTGGACTTGAGCTACAATAACTTTGAAACTGTGAGCATGTCACCATGCAATTTCTCCAAATCTCTTGTTGATGAACACAAATTTGACAACCGATCACTTGCAACTCCTTCTAATCGGTCAGCAAGTTTTTCTGTAGCTCTATGGTTTCTTGATTTTTCTAACAATGATGAGTTAGTCATCAATGATCTTCATTGGCTTTCTGAATTTTCTTCCTTAAAATATCTTGACCTTAGCGGCAATGATCTAGGAAATGAAACCAAATGGCTCCATTATATGGCCACGCTTCCTTTACTCTCTGAGTTACACTTGAGCGATTGTGGATTGAGCAATTTTCCATCCTTGATTATGTCAATTTTACATCACTTGAAGTTCTTGATCTTTCTTTCAATGAGAATATCAGCTCAGAATTACAAGATTCATTCTTTAACATCACCACTCACATCTATCATCTTGACCTTGGCTCTTGCAATTTCCATGGTCAGTTACCATTATCCCTGGCCAATCTTAAAAGCCTTCAATATTTACAGCTGACATCTAATAGGCTCAAAGGACCAATTCCAGATTGGTTAGGTCAATTTGAACAGTTGCAATACTTAGACTTATCCTACAATCAGTTGAATGGCAATCTTCCAGAAAACCTTGGAGAACTCCACAACTTAAATCACTTAAACATTGAGCACAATTCTTGGTGGGCATTCTTACAGAAAATAATTTTTCCAATTTATCGAATTTAAGGTCCCTTGACTTGAGTTCGACAGGTTTCGAATTTGATATTGATCCTCAATGGGTCCCACCATTTCAACTTGAGGCATTGCAAATGCGTAACACAAGTATGGGGCCTAATGTTCCAAAATGGTTATATACACAGCGGTTTCTAAAAGCTCTAGACATTTCTAGATCAGGAATTTCAATAATTGATGCAGATGTGTTTTGGGGCTTTGTAGCAGAAATAGCTTATGTTGATTTGTCGTACAACTTGATTAGCGAAGACATATCCAATATCACGGTATTAGCAAATATCTCTAATATCTTTGATGCATCTCACAACTCTTTGTCAGGATCAATTTTCTCGTTATTGTGCCGTCTAGAGAGGAATCGAGCAAGCATGTTGATTTATTTGGACTTATCAAATAATCATTTGAGTGGTGAACTCCCTGATTGCTGGGCCAATTGGACAAATTTAACATACCTTAATTTGGGGAGTAATAGGCTAAATGGTGAAATTCCTCCGTCAATGGCTTCGTTAATGAAACTTCAAACACTCAACTTGAGTGATAATAGTTTCTTTGGCGAATTTTCTTTAGACTTGACAAACTGGAAAGATTTGGGAGACCTCCTCCTAGAGAAAAATAAATTTTCTGGAAATTTGCCAAATACAATGCAACAAAATTTGATGGTTATGAAATTGAGGACCAATCAATTCACAGGCAATATTCCATCACAGATGTGCAACCTATCTTCTTTGAGAATATTGGATCTTTCTGATAATAACCTTTCTGGATCTATACCTCATTGCCTAAATAATATCATGCGCTCAATTCCTGAAAGTCTTGATCTTATGGGTGAGTTTCACTTATTTGCTAAAGGAAGAGAATTGGTTTACTATATGGATGAGTTCTATTTAAAAATGATTGATTTTTCCAACAACAATTTATCTGGAGAAATTCCTAAAGAATTGTTTAATTTGACTGAAATGTGGTCCTTGAACTTGTCCCGAAATCACTTGGTTGGAAATATTCCTAAAGAAATTGGAGGCATGAAAAGCTTGGAATCTCTTGATCTCAGCTATAATAGACTTTCTGGAGAAATTCCTTCAACCATCTCTAATTTGTCTTTTCTCAATTATTTGAACCTCTCATACAACAATTTCGACGGACAAATTCCATTGGGAAATCAAATTCAAACTTTTGATGCTTGGAGTTTTGTGGGCAATCTTGAACTTTGCGGAGATCCTCTTCCAAAGAAGTGCAACATGAAAGAAGAAACTCACAATTCAAAGACTGCTGACGGAAATAAAGATGACAACTTTCTAAAGTCATTGTATCTTGGGATGGGGGTTGGATTTGCAGTGGGCTTCTGGGGAATTTGTGGTTCTCTCTTCCTCATCAGGTCATGGAGACACAAGTTTTTTCTATGGTTTTATCATTTGGTAGATCAACTTTATGTTGCTGTGGTCCTCTGTTTTAAAAACTCCGAATGAACATGAAGAACAAACTATTCTTAAGGTAATAAGCTTGCTGCCTTTTTTTTTTTAATAAGTATTTCTAAATGATTGCTTATTTTCTTCTATTTTCTTCTTAATTAACTGAGTTGTGTTATATTGCTTATTGTTGAATATGTTTTCTCTACGGGATGCAAATGCAACAGGAAGCATGGAATTCAATACTATTTACCATGGAATTAAAGTCTTGATTTCCGCTTCAAGCAACTGGGAGCACTGCTTTGGATTCATATTGCCACGGCCTCTTGTGTTTCCTGTTTAATGTCCTTTCATCATCTTAGCTAGTACTGAATAGTGAAAATAAGGAGATTTTGTAATAATAATTACTAGTGTATATGTGTGTTCTCATGCATATATTGTGAAGAAACTTTTTGTTGAATGGTTTTCCGAGTGATGTATGGCTCTGCTTTAAACTTAGATCATTTTCTCTTTCAATGGACTGTCCTTTTATAACTACGTTACTGATCTTGGTGCTGCAATTTGTGTATGCATTTTCATATGCAATGATTTTAAAGGCATTTGGCCAAAAAATGCATGTATGATTCCAACAAATGCCTCAGGCAGCTTCTCCCAAGCCAATATCCTAAATTTATATGTATATTATACGTCAACAAAAAATTATATTCATACAAATTTTAAGTCTTTTCAACACGTCTAGGCTTGTGCTAAAATTCTATACAATGGTTCTTCTTCTTCATGCTCCAATAGGTCAAGTGCAGGCCTTGTTTGATCATAAAGAGCTGGTCCACTTTCCCACAGTAAAACTAATTCTAGTGTCTCTCTCATTCACCACTACTTGATCGATGCCAGAAAATCTTATACAAACTAGAATAAGATAGAGCCACAACAAAATTGAAAGTTTATAATAGGTGATCGTGTTTCACCACTACGATAACGTTAACTATGTTCAAAATTGAAAGTTAATTGTCAAGTTCTAAATGTTAACTGAACTATTTGTAGATGACTTAAAGCTGGGATTAATTTTTTTGGCTCTGAGAATGAGTTGTTTTATATCTCTAATTAACTTGGAGGTACCTCTTAGATTTTTTACCTGCAGAAGCTCACTCTTGTTCTGAACTTAGGTCCAATGATTGAGAGTTTGGCAAATTTCTCTGAACACACGGCATCCTTTCTGGCATACACAACCTTCTTATTAATGCCCTGAATATTGAAACATCAATGCAAAGACCTCTTCTAAGAAACCCATCTGGGAGTGTAACATCTGCCTCTTCATTGTCTTTACCGCAGTAACCATCTACTATCCATGAATAAGTGTATTGACTGGGGCAAAACCCAGCATCAAGCATGGAAAACAACATCCAGCCTCTAACATTTCCTAACTTTCAATGCAGATTTCATGTCTCCGATCTTACAGAAAGCATTTATCAACGTGACTTTTCTTTCACTCATTTCTGTCAAGAGTTTATTTGCATCTCTTATTTTGCCATCCTGACACAGCTTACACAAAATTGAGTTACAAGTAACAACGTCAGGGTGCAATCCCTTAGCCTCCATCATCTCACGCAATTTCAGAGCTTTCTCAAGGTCAGTTATTTTACAATACCCATCAGTCAATTTAGTGTGTGCAACATTATTGGGAATTGCAGCTTTGATGGTGCTGATGCTTCTCCCATCCTACCCTCTCTACAAAATCCATAATTAAGAGAACTGTAACTGACAATGTCAAGATTTATTCCTTCTCTTTCCTTTCTGTCCTGGATAGAAAAAGCCTCACAGTGCATACTTCTCTTGCAATATAATGATATCGAAGTATCGTAAGTGAAAATATCAGGAAACACGCCCCTCGCTTCCATCTCATTCAGTAAAGGATCTGCCCTCTGTACATCTCCTGATTTGGAACGAGCATGGATTAACACATTATAGATATGTATGTTAGGAATAATACTAACTTGAACTATTTGTTTGTAAACCATCCATACCACAGTATAGGCATGCAAGTGAGGTTTCAATTTATATAGCCTCATCTGGTCAAAAACCGGAATGGAATCATCGGTCAATGTATTACAAGCCAGCTCAATATATGTGAATTCACTTCTGAGTCATGTTGAATTTCAATCGAAGTTCTCAAAACTGATGGCGACGTCCCTGTGGGCAATTTTCTGCATCTCTCGTGTAGTACTAAAATGTTTATACTTGGCGAGGATATGAAGCATTGACCATGAACATTGCAAAGAGTTCTTATAATTTGGAATCGATTTGGCCTATTTGAAGAATGATAAGGAATGAGATAGAGCAAAGACAATAAGAGAGAGTTGCAGGGACCTGGTGAATCGTGGAAGAAGTGAGAGTAGAAGCCCTCTCCAGCTTCAATAGATTACTCCATGACCCTTCACAACGATAGCAAGCACGCTCAAGATGAATAGGTTGGGTTTTTGAACCACAAAAATTTCGGAAATTGGTTCAGAGGCAAAAAGAGATCAAGCTCGGCTACTTGACTATCTAAACTGTCGTCGTCACCAAAGCAGGATTGGCGCCTTCTTCCTCGAACAGTCAAAATGGATTGTGATTCTTAAAGTTCGCCTGTAATGAAAAAATCTATTGAGCACAAAAGAATATTTTTTTAAACAACTATTTAGCATATTTCACTATTAAAAATCAATGTATTATCTTTAAAATACTTGATTATAAAATTAAAAAATTATCTTGATGATTATAAATAACATTTAGCTAATCATAACTTATTTTTACTAATGATTTTCAAATAAATAAACTTGAAAAAGGGAAAAAAAACTTTGATAAATTTACAAAAATATATATAATAATATAAAATTTGGTTTGGTTTGGTTCAAGTTTGCTAAAAGAAAAACAAACCAAGCTTTATTTATAATCAGTTTTGACCAGTTCATGTTGGTCTGATGTGATCAGTTTGGATGGATTTTGAACACCTTTACCTTAAACAACTTTCATAAGTGTTATCTTTAATCTTCTCTACCTCTCTTTACAGGGCTCAAGATTATCCTTTTCACTCTTTTCATCATCATGCTTTCCACAACCTTATCCGTCTAAACCATTTCAAACTATTTCAATCATTCCTCCTTCAATAGATTTCACACTCACTTTTTCCTATGTACGCTTATTTTGGATTTTATCTTTTTATGTATACCCACACATCCATCTCAACATTTTTATATTTGCTACTCCAAATTTATACTCATGTTGTCCCTTTAAATCACAATATTCACTATCATATAACATGGTTATTCTTATAATAATTCAATGGAACTTCCCTTTAAATTTATAAGATATCATTGGATCACAAATAACTAATTTAACCTTTCTCTATTTAGACCACTCAGCTTAAATCCTACGCGCAATATCCCCAACAATTTTCCACCATGTTGAATAATTATTTTTAAATATCTAAACTTTTTCACTTGTAGTATGATTCAATCTTCCAATCTCACTTTCAAATTACTATTAACTAACCTCTTATCAAAGTGAAATGCAAATATTATATCTTACTCCTATTCAAGTGGAAACCGTTCGACTCTATAACTCAAGTTTGTAGTTAATATCCTCTCTTGACTCTACAATAAAAAGTATATTATCCCAAAATGCATGCAACGAGGATTTTTCTTGAATATGCTCAGTTAGAGTATCTAGAACCAGGTCAAACAAACAAGAGCTTAAAGATGAACCCTATTATGGTCAATTGTGATCCCTTATAAAAATAAATTAATATATATGATAACTTTTTTTATGTGTGTTTATATTATATTCTTACATAATTATGCCAATAGAGGAAGCTGATGTAGTGGTAGTTGGGCTGGATTATTTCCATTTGGTCCCAAGTTCGAACCGTAGTGAGCCCATGGAACATTTCTTTTTTCTTTGCTGATTGCTGATTTTTCTTATAAAATTTCCAAATTACCCCTATAATCAGACTTTTTTTTTAAACTCTTCCTTCATTTTTCGGCGAGGATTCTAGAGCAAAGAGAGAGAGGAGAGTCGGTGGAGAGAGTAAGAGGGATTTTAGGTCTAGAAATTCACTTCCTTCATATACAGCAGTCACTGGTGTGGATCACTACAAAGGTTCCGTCTGCAGTTGCTAGTTGATTGAGTGTGTGTGAGTACGTGGCTTTCCTTCTTCCCTGCTGTGACGTCGTCTGGTGTGCATGCGGGCTTGAGCTGCAACTTGCTTTCTCCTCTGTTCTG